TATCCCAACGGACGGACGTAGCAGAGCTCGAGGCAATAATCGGGCCAACATGGACAGTTTGGGAGGAAGTTAAGAAGGCGCAAGAGGATGATCCACAATGCAAGGAGCTACGACAAGGGATCGAGGCGGGCGACACTGCCGTCGCCGACTACAAGCAGCACAATGCCCTATTACTCCATAGAGGCCGAATCTTCATTCCCAACAGTGGACAGCTACGCGAGAGGATCATGCATCACTTCCACGATTCAAAAATTTGAGGACACTCGGAAGTCTACTGCACGTGGATGAGAATGGCCAATGCTTTTTTTTAGCCAGAACAACAAGGCACAGTCCGAGATTATGTCGTGTGGTGGGACGAATGACAATGCACTAAGGCCGACGTAAGGCGACCGAGCAGGCTGCTACAACCATTGTCGGTACCCGAGGCGATTTGGGAAGATATCACCATGGACTTCATTGAAGGACTGCCGATCTCCAATGGATTCAATGGTGTTATGATCGTGGTGGACCGACTTACGAAGTACGCTCACTTTATACCCATCACGCATCCCTAAACGACAAAGTCCATCGCCAAGATATTTGTTGAGTATGTTATGAAGTTGCACGGGGTACCACGTTCAATAGTATCTGACCGAGACCGGATCTTCATGAGCAGCTTTTGGTCCGAGTTCTTCAAGTTGCAAGGGACCAAGTTGTCAATGAGCTCAGCATACCACCTACAAACGGATGGGCAAACCGAGGTAACTAACCGGACGCTAGAGCAGTACTTGAGGTGTTACGTGCATCAATTTCTAAAGAAGTCGGTGAATTTTCTACCGTGGGCTGAGTATTGGTACAACACAACGTACCACAGTTCGACCAAGATGATGACATTCGAGCTAGTATATAGATGCAAGCCTCCAACACTCATCAATTACTCGGAGGGTGGTGCGATTAATGACGAGGTAGGTCGAGAACTTGAGGAGCGAGATTTGATGTTGAAGGAGTTAAAGAAAAATCTTGAAGGATCAATAAACCGAACGAAGGCTTTCGCAGACGAAGGCGAGAAGAAAGTTTTGAGCTGGGCAATTATGTTTACTTGAAGCTGCGGCCATTTAGGCAACGCACGACGGCGTAGAGGGCTGCGACCAAGTTGGGAGTACGCTACTATGGGTCGTATCAGATTATGAAGTGCATAGGCCAGGTAGCTTATCGTCTAGAGTTGCCGGAACGTTCGCACATTCATCCGGTCATACATGTTTCACAGCTTAAAAGAAGTCTAGACGAAGCACAGAAGTGGTGCGAGGAGTTACCGATAACCGCAGTCGATGGAAGAGTCATAGTGAGACCAAGACGTGCCATTGAGTATCGTCAATCAAAGAAAGTAGGTCGTTGTCGTTGGAAGGTATTAGTTGAGTGGAAGGAGTTGCCATCGGATGAAGCCACATGGGAGGACCTCGATGAGATGCGCGATCAATTCCCGAATTTCGTCCTTGAGGACAAGGAATCACTTGAAGGGGACGAGAATGATGCGAATGTGGCTAGGCAGCTCAAGAATGCCGCAAGTCGCGCCTATCATGCGCGAAGAAGGTTAGCGCGAGAGACGGGCGAGACGCACGCCCTTGAGCAGGACGTGCGCGAGGTACGCGAGAACGGCCTAGCGGGCAAGCGGGATACGTGGGCGTCGGGCGAAGACGCGCACGCAACGGGCGCAACAGAATGGGACGCGACGAATTTGGGCCGCGGGGAATCACGCGCACGCTTGGGCAGTGAAGCCTCAAGCCTCGAGGCATGCAGAGAAACGGGTGCGCGCTACGCGAACGAAGCAGCGACAGAGGGCGTAAGCGCCCGCAGTGTGAGCGACAGGACGGCACGCGCGATAGCATGCGGCGCGACACTAGTCCTCGAGGACTAAAGAAGATGCGCGCGGGCAGGGGCCGACCTAGGAGGCGGGGGCGGCTAGGGAGTTCCTTGGAATGCAAGACAAGTTATCTAGTTTCCTTATTGCTTAATAACATCTAGCTTGTTTAGGTTACTTAATATTTTATTACTTTATTAGAATTATAGTTAGATTAGAATTAGATCTAGTTAGTGCCTATACAAAGGCCTTTCCCTTTGTTATTTTATTCATTCAGAAATCAATACAAAAATCCAAACTTTTGGTCAAACACTTTGCTCTAGTTTTCTTCTTGAATTCTTTTTAATTTTATCGTTTCAAGGGGCACGAGTGTGTGAACCTCCTAACACCTATCGTGCGATTCAAGGCGCGGGAGCGGCTTATCGACAAGCGGGACACACGGTCTTCATCACTCATGCTAGTGGTCGTCCTTGACTGCTCGGCTCATCCCTCATGTTGTGTGCCTCCAATGATATTGCGGTTGGTGAAGTGTCGAGTTTAACTCCGGCTCCCCAGATCTGTGGTGGCGTCGGGTGGAGTATGGGTCAGTGGGTGGGGTGGGACTCTGGCAATTGTGACGTCCTATGTTGGGGTAGTCGGAGTTGAGGGATCGAGCCAATATCTACTCCTCGGTTCTCTGGTGTTGGAGACGGGAGGGTTTAGTGAATCTGTGTTCTGCTAGTGGTGTTGGACAAATTCGGGGTGTGCTGGTGTGGGTAGTCGGTTGGTTGCTCCTCCGGTTGGGGCGGGTCGACTTTGGGCTCGGTTCTGGGCTCAGGTTCAGCTTGTGTATAGGCAGTTCGGCAGTTTCGGATGAGGTTCCTCAGGCTTTGGATCTCACTATGGGGTCGATTGTTTCTCTGCTGGTTCGACTCAATCTATGTGTTAGGGAAGGGCTCTCTTTTTTTTTTAGATTTTTGTTTAGATGTGTTTTTTGCTTCGTCTGTTTTGCTAGGTCTCGTGATTTTGGTCTGCGCCATTGGCCTCTGTAGATTATCCCTTTGGAATCATTTTCCGTTTATTTTCATTTTGGAAGCTTCATAGTAGTTGTTTTATTTAGTGTTTGTATTGCCAGTCGTGCTGTGTGTTTTGTGTTTTGGTTTCTAGCGTTGCTAGGTCGCTTGTAGGCGGGCTTCAGTTCCATCTCGCACTTTGGCCTTGTTTGGCGATCAGCGGATAGCAGATAGCGGATTGTATAAGCGGATAGCAGATGATATTAGTTGATTTGACCAGCGGATTGCATTAGCGGTTTTTAAATAAGTGATGGTAAATAGCTGAAAGCTTATAGTTGTTTGACATTGTAAAATAACCAATAATGATATTTTATATTTAGGGTGTATTCTTTTAATGATAATATATTAAAACATTTAATATTATTTAGTTGGTAATTTATAAATATATATTTTTTTAAAAAAATTTACTAACACTTGATGAATAAGTTATGGATTTTACATTTTTCTAGATAAATTAATCATATGTATGACATATTATTATTTATTAGCACCATAAACCAATGTAAAATAAATAATACAAATTAAAAAATTCCAAATAAACGATTTTTGTGAATCCTCTATCCCAAAAAGATGCTTTAATGAGCTTTTTTTAAATTAGAGTTTTGGGCCCAAAAAACTTATCAAATAAGTTATTTACCCAATAGGCTCAATAGCGGATTTGACGAGTCAAACCTCTCAATTAAGTCCAATCCACTAATTTATCTTCAATCCACTATTTTTCAAACGGGATATTTATTCAGCTTTTGATTGTAATATTAACTAGGGACTGTACTTTTTCACATTTGTACAAATTTATCTACAAAGTTCTCTATTGTTCCAAAAAAAAAAAAA